TGGTGCTGGAGAAGAGTGTTGAATATATCATGGACTGCTAGGAGAACAAACAGGTTTGTCCTGGAGAGGGTGAAGCCAGAGTGTTCCCTGGAGTCAAGGATTCTGAAGCTTCGTCTGACATATTCTGGGCATGTTGCAACGAGGGACTGGTCCTTGCAGAGGGACATTATGTTTGGCAGAGTGGAAGGGAGGCGACGGAGAGGAAGACCTTTGGTGAGATGGATCGATTCTGTGACTGGTGTGGTGGGAATAAGTGCGTTTGAGATGGCTAGGTTGGCACAGGATAGAACAGCATTTAGAGCTCTTGTACATAGGGTCACTATGAGTCGCACGCGACTCGATGGCACATAACAACAACAACAAAGCTATTTTATAGAAATGCTTGAGAAAGACGAGAACTTGTTGAAAAATACATATGAACAAATGTAAAGAGCTCCATGTGGGCAAAGTAGTAACAATTTAAAAAGCAAAATAAAAATCCTTAAATTTATACAGAATCAAATAAATGGGAATAAACAGCTCTTCATCACAGAATTCCAATTAAATATCTCAGACCAGAATATCTTCTATTTCTTTTTCAATTAGAATAGGTTGCTTTAGTGCTCGCTTCGGCAGCACATATACTAAAATTGGAACGATACAGAGAAGATTAGCATGGCCCCTGCGCAAGGATGACACGCAAATTCGTGAAGCGTTCCATATTTAAAAAAACAAAAAAAAAAGAATAGGTTGCTTTAAAGATAACTATTGTAGGGCTCTGAGGCCATCCCAGGGGACAAGCAGGACAAAAGACTAGAGTATACAGAACTTCAAGCAGAGGAAAAAATGTTCTTAGCTCTCTGCAACAGGAGGCTGTCCTGTGAGTCTATGCATACAAGCTGCCTGAGCTGGCGGTCCTGATCTCCCACCAAATTAGAACAAAGGAGGACACTAAGCTGCAGGAGAAAAGAGTCAAATGAAATCCTACTGACTGGGAACAAACATTTGGACATACCATCTCAGACAGGGTCTCACAATGCAAGTTACAGAATATTAATTATCCAATTACAAAATGGGCAAAAGACATGGAAAGACTTTTCACAGAGGGGGACATTCAGATGGCCAAAGCATAAAGAAATGCTCAAAATCACAGGTAATAAGAAAGATGCAAATGACACGAGATACCATCTTACCTCAGTAGAAGTAGCAAAGTTTAGCAGGGCAGTAAGTAATAAATGTTGGAAAGGAGGTGGCGAGATAGAAACTCTTAAAGACCTTGTTGGTGGAATTTAAAAATGGTACAAACACTCTGGAAGGCAGTTTGATGTTTCCTCAAATAGCTGAACATAGAAATTCTATATGACCCAGCTATTACACTACTTGGAATATACCCTCAGAAAATGAGAACTGAGGCACAAATGGAGACTTGTATACCAGTATTCATAGCAGGGTTATTCACCATAGCAAGAACATGGAAATAGCCCAAATCTCTAACGACAAGAGAATGGATTCAGAAATTATGGTAATTTCATCTATGCAGGAGCAGTGATTTTGTAAATTACTACCTAACTGGGAGGGACTGGAGAGCATTATGCTAAGTGAACTAACTCAGTTTCATAAAGACAAATACTGTATAAGACTATTATTGTAGAACGAGTACTAGAATCCAAGGAGAGGAGAGAGGGCACAATTTTTTTTTTGAGAGGGCACAATTTGATGGGTAGAGGGAGGTGGGATAAAGGAAAGGGGAAAGATCCACTGTGAAAAACAATATACAAACTTTTTAAGTAAACCAGTATAAATTAATATTTTAAAAAATAGATATAAAAAATGCAATCAAAAAAACCCCAATCATAACTGCTGTTATGTGCGATTGAGTTGACTATGTCTCATAGCAACCCTATGAACAATGGCGTTAAACTTTGCCCCATGCTGAGCAAACTTTCCCGTCAGACATATCTGACCCCACTGCCATAGACATGACCTTCTGCAGCAAATGCTTCAAGCCCTCCTCAGTTTCAGCAAGTAAGGTGTGTCATCTGCATTACTCAGGTTCAGTTTTATTTTCCTTTTAATCAAGCTTTATTTTTTAATATTTAAATGTTTTCTTCTTTTCATATTTAAGTATACATATATTATCTTTTCTAAATTATGATTTTAATGAAAATTTACAGAAAAGTTAGATATTCATTGCTGCACATAACATAGGTTGTTGATAAATCTTCCTCCAATCCTGATGCCATATTCTTCTTTATAAAGTCCAGCCTCATGAATAATCTGTTCTGTATACAGATTGAAAAAATATGGAGACAGGATACATCCCTAATGTACTCCATTCTTGTTTCTCTGTATGGATAATAGCTTGACAACAAATGTTACTAAAAATGCTGATATAAAAGAAAAAATCACCTGTTGAAAGAAGCAGCCTCTGCTTTAATATACATTTAAAATTATTTTAGAACACTTACTTGATAGATTCAGGCAGGGTCCCTCCATGGGCTTGTAGCAACAACACCTGTAGTTGTTGTACCTGAAAGCAGCAAAGGAAAAGAATCAGCTGGTCACCAATCAAAAGCTAATGATTCCCTTACAGCTAATCACTGTAACTTTTGCATGCTTATGAAATCTAAGGCAGAACTTAAATATTACAGAAAGCACCTAACATTTGCCTATGTTACACAGATAAATGTAAAATTCCGTTTTTAAAATACTAGCTACGATTAAAATAATTAACATAAATAAAACCTACTTTTTTACATTTCTCTTTATTCTCACACAAGCTACCCAGACACCACTTGGTCTTTTAACCCTAATCCCATCCTCCAGACTGTCAAGTTAACCCAGGACTTCAGGCACCTCATTTCTTATTTCAGAAAATTCAAAATGAAGTGCACTGCCTTCAGATCACTTCACACTCAAATAAAATCTCCATCAGGTTTCCAAGGATGTAAAGCATAATTAAAGGAGCCTGCCAGTGTTCTCCCAAGGACTACTAGTGGGTTTGGTGGGTTTGAATAGCTAGAGACATGCAGACTTTAGGTCACTAGTGCAACTTACTAGGAACTATGCCACCAGAGTTCTCTCACTTCTTACTCATGGCTACAAATTCAGACTCTCCTAATAGCTCTTCATTATTAGACTTAAGCTTGTGATCAGTGTCCAGTGCCTGTCTGGATTCCTTAGTTCTGACCTGTTGTTGCTATTGTTAGATACTACCAAGTCAGTTCTGACTCAAATTGACCTCATATACAACAGAAGGCAACACTGTCCAATTACTGATATTGAATAATGAGCCTATTATTGCAGTCACAGTGTAAATCCATCTTATTGCAGTTCTTCCTCTTTTTTGCTGACCCTTTACCTTATCATGTAGAGCTGTGTAGCTTAGTGGTAAGGAGTTGTACTGCCAACCCAATGGTATTCATAAAAAATTCACGTTACTTAGTGGGAGAAAAATAGGCAATCTCCTGTGTGATTTACATCCCCTGAAAACCCTCTGGATGGTCAAATGTGGGTGAGTTCTGATTCAGCAGTATAACAACAATTACTTTATCAAGTATGATGTCTGGTTTTTTTTTTAATTGTTTTTTCCTAATATGTGTTTGAAGATATGCTGGTATAGTGGTAAGGAGTTGCACTGCCAACCTAAAGGCATGCGTTTTAAATCCACCAGCTGCTCTGCGGAAGAAAGATAGGCAATCTCCTCATGTGAGATTTACTGCTTCTGAAAATGTGCTGGAGCACGGGTTGGTTTTGTCTTTATGGTATACAATACATGACTAAAATGAGTAAGACAAAGACTTCTCACTTCCTAAGGAGTACTCTAGTTATGCATCTGATCTGGCTATAAATTTGAGGGTTCTCTCAGCTAGAAGATAAGGAGTTCTCTTAGCACCTCCTCTCCTACATCTGGCCTACTGATTCCTACAATTCTCTCAAGTTTGAGAATTTTATTAAATGACACAAATACCTTACAGAAAAAATTCTATACTTATGATTAAGTTTTATTAAAGGAAAAAGGATACAAATAAAGAGGTGCATAAAAGTGAGGTTTTGAAGGGTTCCCGAGTGCTTCTATATTCACAAAAAGACATGCTATTTTCCTAACATGTTCCCCTCATTGCAGCCCACTCACGTCAATTATATCAATCACTTTCATCAATGAGGAAGCCCATGAAACTTTCTTGTCCAAATATAGGATCTAATTATTTGCTGCTGTTATTTGCTCCAAAGTTGACTATGACTCACAGAGGCCCTATGAAAAAGAAATCTGAACTTTGCCCTATCCTTCACTATCCTCACTAACTCTGACATGCTGAAAGCCCACTGTATGACTATATCAACCTATCTCATTGAGGATCTTCCTCGTTCTCTGGCCCTCTACCTTTCCCAGAATGATGGCTTTTTCTAAGGTCTAATCCTCCCTGACAATATGCCCAATGTTGTTGTTGTTGTTATGCCTTCAACTTATAATGACCCTCTCTCTGTACAACAGCTCTGAACCCTACGCTATTCTGAGCCAGTCTCACTGATTCTGACACACCTAAGCCCACTGCCCCATTTATCGTGTCAATCAATCTCATCTGGGGGCTTCCTCTCCTACTCTTTCCCTCCACCATTCCAAGCATGATGTCCTTCTCCAAGGACTAGTCCCTCCTGGCCACATGCCTAAAGTATGTGAGACAGCTTCAAAATCTTTGCTTTCAAGGACAAACTTGGTTTCACCCTCTCCAAGACAGACCTATTTGTTCTCCTGGAAGTCCATGGTATGTTTAAGACTCTTCACCACCACCACAACTCAAAGGCATCAATTATTCCTCTGTCATTCTTAGTATATGGGATCATTCTTGGGATATGTCCAAAGGATATGAGACAAAGTTTCTAAGGAACACCCTGGATGAACTTTCTCCAAGAAAGTTCTTTTCAGTCCAAAAAATATTGAGTACTCCTTGTGGACACAATTAAAATAAATCAATTCCTTTTTACCATCTTTATTCATTGTCCAATATTTAGGTGCCTAGGAAGCAAATGAAAATACTGTGGCACAGATCAGGTGCATCTTAGTTATCTTGCTCTTAAGCACTTTAGAGAGGTCCATGGGAGCAGATTTCCCAGATGCCAACATGTCTTTTTAATTCTTTTTTTTTTATTTGTTTTTTATTGGGAAAAACATATTGGGGGTACAAGGAGGTAAGGGTTGGGGGCAGAAGGGTGAGGATGGGCCAGGATGCAGTTGCAGAGCTGCACAGTTTGGTCAGTGGGGGGAGCAGGTGAAGGAAATAATGAGGGTCCA